ACCTTATATTTTTACTTTGCACTACAGTTATATACCGCTTATTTATACATTTTTATACATGTTCTCTTTACTTCTGTTCTCTTTACTTATTGTGTTGTTACTGTGTGTAATGCTGCTGCTACACTGCATCTATCTATCTATCATGCAAGAGCTAAAACACATGAATCTCTCTTGTCCATATGGGCTTTAAGTATTGGTCGAGCTGAACTGTTTAGGAAAATAAAATGTGTTTGTTCATATGTATGTGCATATATATACAGTGCATATCGTTTGTCCTATGATGATTTTCTTTGACACTTTTTAAATATGGAATTGAATTGCCCTTTTTTTTAATTCAAAGTGCCTGTAATTACTTAGCGGTGTGTGCACAGCTGTCGATAGGGTTTGACAGCTTTATAAATATTCCAAAACTCTAATTATACTCAAATTTAGCACCAAAAAATGACAAAGTTTTCTGTAAATGTCTATAATGAGTCAAAGCATATTTTAAGGTCCAAATTGTACGTTCTTGATATATTAAAGTTCCTCAAACTGCATATGATGTGGCTTTACATATTTGGCTTTGCATATATCAGGTCAAACATCAGGAATTTCCTTGTGGTCTCTCTTTTGCGTAAAATGTAAGCTGCTCTACTTAAGTGCATCAATAAAGGACCACCTGTTTATAATATGCAGTGCAGCATGCAAAACAGAAAACAACCAACCTTTCTTTTTGATCTCTGTCTAGGTGAGAAAATCAGCTGGATGAAGGTGAAGATACTGTGCTTGTGGAGCTGGCTCTACGCTCTGATCTGGGCTCTGTTCCCCATTCTGGGCTGGGGACGATATGGCCCGGAGCCCTTCGGCCTCTCCTGCTCTCTTGCCTGGGGAGAAATGAAAAATGAGGGCTTCTCTTTTGTCATCTCCCTTTTCTCCTTCAACCTCGCCATGCCTTCTGTCATCATCATGTGCTGCTACTTTGGCATCGCCCTCAACCTCTATTTCACCCACAAAAAGTCGATGAACAACAGCATCCGAGTCCCCAACATTGTCAAGCTACATCGGAGGCTGTTAACAGTAAGTGACTCATTCTGATGAGAAAGCTCTATTATTATAGGTTTGGTGACTCATTGTAGCTGTCTTGTGACACTTCAACACCAGTTTGTCCTTGGGGGCTTCACACTGAACTGAATGGTTTTTCATTATAGGGAAAGTACTTTTTCAGAGTTACAAGTTGCTTTTGTTTTATGCATATACCTAAGGCTAGCTGTTCAGAAAATTGATTGCTATACAGTACGGGTAGTTCATATTAAAACAGACTCATTCTGTGTATATTGCCCCTGGACCTGCAGACATCTGCCCAAATAGATAATTGGTGGAATTTAATTATTGTTTAGATTCTATAATTAACAAGGACATTACAGCTAAACATTGCTACAAAAAAAAGGAATGCCACAGTTTTCCAAAAACAAATTTCAAAAACAGATTTCAGGATTAACAAACAATAAACAGCTATTGGGACAAAATCATCTGCCATATAGGTGTATGTCCTAAACATAACAGTGTATGCACAGACATAACTCTAGCAGAGGAAATCACCTTTAGCAACAAGCAAACCATCAGGACGTCCAAAAAGACTACGGGAGTTAGGTTAGAGTTACACAGCACACAGATGTACTGTAAATATTGATGGGTACATATTTATAGGATCAATGAAGCTTCTTTTAAAAGAAATTCCATTCATTTCCAAGATTTCCAAAAAATAAATGTTTTTTATTTCCAGAGACTTTTACTGACTCTTCTCCTGTTCTATTGCAGATTGCTGTGTTGATCAGCGCCGGCTTCATCGTCTGCTGGACGCCCTATGGCCTGGTAAGCCTGTGGTCTGTTCTCCGTGACAGTAGCACCATCCCGGCTGAAGTTAGTCTCCTGCCGTGCATGTTCGCAAAGAGCTCCACCGTATACAATCCTATGATCTACTACATCTTCAGCAAGAGCTTCAAAAGGGAGGTAAAGCAGCTGTGCTGGTTGTGCCTACGCTCGAATTCCTGCCACGCCTCCAACAGCATCAACGACAACAGCATTTATATGGTTAGCACTAACATCAAGCCCAGAGTAGCAACGCAATATACTATGGAGGAGATCTCAGAGTCAAAGATAGTGACCTTGGGTTGAAAGACTTTTTTGGGATATGCTTGAGAGGAAAGACTTCACTGTTCAACAAAGACTTTTGTGCTGTTAACGAATGAATGGTCTCATAATGTGTTATCTCACAAACCTTATCAGGATAGGTAGTGCTATTATAATGTTACAAGCAGGTAATGCTGGCCTCTTTTGTGTGAGGCCAGAATGAAGTGTTTGCACAACAGGTTAAATGCTGTGAAGGTTCAGCCAACTGAGCTATAGATTAGATCTAACGTGCACAATTGTATGTACTTGCAAAAGCCAATGAACAAAGTCAAAAAAAGATTTAATACTGTGCTTTCAGGTGGCAAAAAATTAACACAAAAAAAAAAACAGAAGGAGGGGACTACTTACTGTTGAGTGAACAGCAAGATGTAAAGGAAGCTAATGTGACAGCCACACAGGGTTGAAGAAAGTTTTAAAACATTACAAACCAAAGGTTGTACTGTAGAATGGGACAAAAACCTTATTTTTATCTTTGAAAAAAAGAAGAGATGTTTACTTTAATGATTCAGGTTTGATCTGTGATAGATAGTCGTTTGATTGATGATTGAATAATTACTTCTTCATAGTTTTGTGACACCAATCAGTATTTTCCTATATATATATAAGACTGTCATTATTCTTCCTTTTTATTACCAACAAATCTGGACCAAAACCAAAAAAATAAGTACAGTGAAGGTATTGCTCTTTTTTGAATAGTTGGATATTTTGGGAAATAAGCTTATTCGGTTTCTTGCCGACAGCTACAGCCAGCTGTTAGCTTATCCTCGCACAAAGACTGTAAACAGGGGGGAACAGTAAGGCTCTGTTAGTGAGCTTTAGAGGTTTATTGCTGTTTCTGTCCTTCGTTGGATGTATTTTTAATAAAAAGATAAACTAAAGCTTCATCCAGAACTATGAAAATAAAAGCTCTTTAGAAGTCAGTGTGCAGCTGATTGTTATGTCACCAGTGTATTAATGAAAGCATTGTTTCACTGGAACTCCTCCAATAACACAGCAACAGTATAACAGCTTATTATTGTATATTAATGACAAGTTCATGTTTCTATACACGCTTTTTGCGAACTGTCCATTTCCTGCTTTACTCAGGGATGATTTTGATGTTCACCTGCACTCTACAATAGCAGCGGTGGACCCCCGCAGGAGTTCCCTTTTAACTTCCTCTTTCAAAAAGCTTGACAAAGTGGCAAACTGTTAGTTTTGGGATTTTGCAGTGTCATGTTTTTTTTTTTAGCTACTGGTGACAATGTTGAATTGTTTCTAAACTGTATGAATGTAGAGCTGTGAACCTTTTGCATATTTGTGTGCACAATTACTGTACTTGTTTGAGAAAAAAACAGACTGCTTACAATAAATGAGTGGACAATGAATGCACAATGATGGTATCATAAAAATGGTTGTGTATAATAAAGACATAGTGATTGTCATCCTGAATTCAACCTGTTGCAGCTGTGGGAGCTTCCTGAATTCTGATGTTTAAGTCTATGTTTTCTTAATGTCACTTGGACAGCCAGAGCTCAGGGTGTAAAGGATAACGCTGTCAATCAGTGAGTGTATAAAATCTGTCTCAAAAGTGTCTAAAATGTCAGTGTGTAAATTTGCATACATTCTACATGCTAACATTTCCATAATTCTCATTAGTGTGCAGTATGAACCCTTCAGATTTAGTCCCATCCTTAATAAAATTAAATAACCTATACTCACATTCTCATGTGAACAAGAGGGGATGTGGACAACCTCAACGTGCCGCATCACCGTTTGGAAACATGGAATATAATATTATCAAGCATTTTGTTTGTTGTCTGGGGGTCATGGATCTTTTAAGTATGTACATAATAATACATGTCTTTCATCGTATAATGTATCCATGAGAGGGCTTTGCAGCAAGCAAGCAGGCAGGTTTTCCCACGCACTAGTTCAATACGTTATATAATAATTAGCAACAAGATGCTAGGCACAGCGGGGTTAAAGCTTTGTGAGCATGTTAGCATGCTGCCATTAGCATGTTTATGTGAAACCGGTATAATAACCATCTTAGCTTAGCATGTTAGCTCTGTACAAAGTACAGCTGAAGCTTTCTAAAAATGGCTAATTAGCCTGATGATAAATGCAATTAGTTTTATAGATATTTGGTCATAAACCTAATTATAAGAGCTGATAGCAGTCGCTGGCGAGAAATAAAGACTTTTGTAGCCCCAGAGGAAGGTGTGTGTCTAATATGGTGCCTCGATTGATGTCACTTGAGTCAACATCAGTTGAGCCTGAAGACTACAAGAGTCTGGCAATGTGGAGTTACAAAGAAGTGTGTCGCCAGCTCCTCATCCCAGCTTTAGGCTAGTGGCTACATTTGCCGCTACTAGCGTAGCACCCAAAAGAACGACTCCCATAGCACCAGAAGAGCTGCAGAAGTTAAAATTCTTCCATAAATGTGGAATTACATATGACAAACTTGAGGTGCTGCATTGAAAATTAGTGAAGGGCAGATTTTGTTTAACTAATCTGTCTTTGTGATTCTTATGTACACCCAAATGTGTTTGACTTCAAGCCAGCAATAAGCAGATGGAAACAGAAATGACGGTGCCCTTAAAGTATCTGCAGAGAATACTGCTACAAAGGTTACATCTCTAACAACGTGTTCAAACCTCCATCAAGCCACTTATTGCAATTTTGTCAATCATCTGAATTTTTTATAAACTCTTACCATTTAGGTTTAGGATATTACCATTCAGTTAAAACGGTTGACCTCTACCTTACCAGACTGTAAAAAAGATTTAATTCACCCACTTATTTCCAAAAGTGGTGAAACATCTCAGAAAAAGGGGTCACATCAGTCACGTTTCCAAAGTTCACATCCTTTATTTAGAAGAGAAAATCTGATTCGGTATTACAAGTAGAAAAATACAATTTCCAACAATGTCATATTTCGAACAGGAGTTGGTTAAATGAAAAATAGTAGTAGTTCGTTAGAGGTTTAATGTGAATCTATCTCCACAGTACTGGCACCTACCACACCCCGCTAGGTAACTGAAAAGTACACACAAATTTCACAATAAAAGCATTATAGTCCAAGTAGGCTTATAGTGCTGTGCTGCAATGTTATATCTTGGATGGAAAAAATAAATAAAAAAAATCAGGCCAAAGTTTTGATCACGATACTGTATTATGTTTGTTTATCTTATCCCAATTTGATTAAATGTAGTGTATGATTTATTGTTCCGGTGTTGGTAAAAGTATTTATGTAGTCTAATGTCATAAATATTGAGGCAAACTGTGAGGATATTATTAGCAATTCACTTCAAATTTAATATACACAGAATGCAATGTTAATACAATCACGACACCCCAACAGGTTTTTAATCATTCTGAGTGCTGTACATGCATTGTGATGATGGGACTGAGATTGTGGCTTTTTATCATGTTGTGTGACAGGACATCACAAATCAGAGGTTCTGTACAGAGAGCTCCCACTTGTGACTTTGTTGTGGATACAGCACAAAGAGACAGTTCTTAAAGTTGGATTTATTATTATTATTATTATTATTATGTTTTAGAGTTCACATAGCCTGGCGGATGTTTTCCAGGCTCTTCTCAATGTTGTCAATGACCTCCACTGCAGCTTGTGGGATCCTGGTTCCCGGGCCGAAGATGGCGCACACCCCGCTCTGGTACAGGAACTCGTAGTCCTGCACGCACACAGACGTGGAACACGGTTAAAATTAACTGCAGTTACTGGGGGGGGGGGGGGGGGATTCAGCTTTATTCATCTAGACTCAGAAAGCAGCATGTGAGCAGTCCCCATGTGATTATGTTAATTATGCTATAGCTGATTCAACGAGAAGTATCCCCAATAGGAAAGGGAAGAAATTTGTTTTGCAGACAAACAGTAAGATTGACAGGAACAGGACTTCAAAAGAAATCCTACAGTGTGATAATGGTAATTATATGAATCATGGGAATCCTCATGATTATAGTTCTTTTTCCCCATGACAACAGGATGTCATTGTATATACTTATCTGTGTACTTGTGTTATGTAGTGCTATATAACGTGTGTGTGTTTCCATAGCTCCAAGGCGCCAATAGTCATGCTGGAGGCTTTGTAGATTAAGATTGCCTGGGAGAGGAATTGATTTCTGTCTCTGCGGACCAATAGATTATTTAACACTGTGCTGTTCAGTAACCGCTGCATACATACAAGCTATTTAAGCTGTTCTCCATTAAACCCCTCACACTGTTATTATGAGGCTCAGCTATCTAAAATCAACCTCTTTCTGAAGGCTCGAGATTTGATAATCATGGAAATCAGATGTTACCTGTGGTGGGATGACGCCTCCACAGATGACCAGGATATCTGGCCTGTTGAGCTTCCGTAGTTCCTTGATGAGCTCTGGGACCAGGGTCTTGTGTCCTGCAGCAAGCGTGCTGACCCCGACACAGTGCACATCTGCATCAACCGCCTGCTGGGCAACCTCAAGGGGAGTCTGTTCACCCAAAGGTCGAACAAAGAAAACACAACTCAGAGTGGGGTGTACGATGCATGAGTAAAAGAACAAAAATATAATGCACCACAGAGTACAGTCCAACCCATCTGCTTCACTTAACTACTCCATTTAAGTAAATAAGTGTAAACTGTATTTGCTTGAATACTGAATACTGTATATAACACTAATGATATATATTACATGCAGGCTAACGTATATTTGATCACTTGCTAATTGTTTGCATAGAAAGTAAAAACACTGTGTTCTTTCAGGATCCCCAACTCTGTCACTGACATCAAAATGAAAGAAGATCTCTCTATTAAAAGTTGGGGGAAATGGTTGACATATAAAAGGAAGACATGATTAATTAAAGGTGGCCTCAACACTTACTACATAACTACACACAGGCTCTGTTCTTTTTGTTTGTTTGTTTATTGTTTTTGTTATTGTTTTTCTTTTCTACTCCTTACTTCTGAGGAGATTGTCTTGCACTGTATTGTTAACATTGAAAACTAAATAAAAATTGTAAAAAAACATTAAAACTAAACTTTTAAAGTTGTATGTCCTGTCGGTCAAAAGAAATAAAAAACTACATGCATTTCCCGCTGTCTAACCTGAAACATAATTTGTGATTCAAAATACAGTTCCAAGGGTATTTGTTTTGTGAGCGCTGTCCTGAAAATGACAGCAGTTAAACATAACACTCGCTATTTCCTTATGTATTTCATTTATTCTATTTACTCACTGCTAGAGGAATTACTTAACACAAGGCCATATGATCAAAAGTTGAGTAATTACGCCAGCATAGTGTGACAACTGCTGCAGTGCGGCACCCCACCTCATTATAGCACATTAGAGAAAATAATTATGTACCACAGAATAGACTGGTGTATCCATCCACATCATATACATACTGTATGTATGTCCAACATCTGAGTAGTCACTCCTCTGGGTGAATATTAAGACTAGAGGTTGCTTGAAATGTAGAATTCTCTAATCAACCAACAAAACAAACGCCTGACTGTGTGTCTCAGCATGTCCCAACCGCCTGTACGAGTTTGGAAATCAACCACAGTTACGAGGTATGGGCTCAGGGAGTGCTGCTCCGAGCTAGTAGCTCGGTAGCACCCCTGCTTGGCTTGCTAACTCTGTTACATTATAACACTGTTTGTGTTATATCATACTGAGAGCTGAGCCTGCCTTCCAGCAGTCAGGTCAGACTACATTGAATATTTGGTATGACATCATCGAATGTGGATACAAATGTTAAATTATTAACACAGAGAATGGAAGCAATCAGCTGCTCACAGTGAATACTTGTCAAAGCAGGAAAAGCACAGGTGTACCTAGTCACCTGTCGCAGTAACTACAATTTTGGTCAAAATTGAGTTATGACTGAAAATGAACTTTTCAATGTCTGTTTTATCTTGTGCTAGTGCTAGCTAGCTAGCTAGAGAGGTCAAGCTATTAACGTGCTAGTGTAAGCTAGCTACAATAATTTTATAATAAGAATATTAGAAATAGATATAATAATAACTCTAAATGTTATGATAACATTTTCAAACACATTTAAAGCTCCCATTAGAAATATGATGACATTTGAAATGGAAATAAGGAAAAACTTTTGGGAAATGTTTGACTTTGTGAAGTATTTCAGAATCAGAAATACTTTATTAATCCCGGGTGTACTGTATTTGTTACATTTCCAGTGCACCTGGTTTCAATTATGACCCCTTTTAGCATCTTAGCTCTTCAGTGCAAAGATGTGTTTGGTGGAACATTGAGAAAGAATATTAAGTGCAAAACTTATCTTATCTTATAATATCACTGAATCTCTAAGTATCTTCAAGCTGTGGGGTTTTCACTATCAGAAGGATACAACCTTTGTAAGTAAATCACAACAAACTAAAACAAATTCATAAAGTCACTTAAATATATTCCTTACCTTTTAATTAACTATATTCTTTTACTTTTATAATAATTATATTTTTTTCTCAGGAACTGACCTAAACTGCTTAAATGCATGTTATACGCTATTTTTTACTAGCAGTTCATGTGATATAAAAGGTAATTTCTGGGTAAAGTCACTACTTCAGTGTCTTACACGTTATCTTTAAATTGGCTCAGGTGCTGTCGGCACTGACCTGAAACAGGGGTCCGATGTCCACATCAAAGCCTAGGTCAGCAAACCCAGTGGCGATGACTTTGGCACCCCTGTCGTGACCATCCTGCCCCATCTTTGCCACCAGCAGTCGAGGGTTCCTGCCCTCGTGGTTCTTAAAATCTGCAACTCTGAGGTTTGAGAAAAAAAAAATCTGTAGGAAAACCTGACGTGTGATCAGTTGATAATGAATGTAAAGATGCTGATTAGGTTTATTTTCTACCTATTGTGAGCCAAGGAAATCTCTTCATGCTCCCCGAACTCGCTGCGGTAAGCACCGCTCACCATCCTCGTGCTGGCCTTGTGTTCACCAAACACCGTCTTCATGGCATCAGTTATTTCACCAACTGAACATCTAAAAAACAAGCAGATATCTTCTACCTCAGTACATTTTCACTTCACAATGGTAAATAATGCAAGGAAAACCAGCTATTCATTTTATTCTAAACAGCTATATGTCTATGTCTCCAATGTCTATATCTATTCTCTATTTCACAAAATATTGCTTTTAAAGTGAGGTCAGTCAACTGCTGAAGTGAAATGGAAATTACTGGTCATTTGTACTTGTATGACAGTATAAAGAATATTACACTGAGATGGATTAAAGTTCTATTGGTAGTAAAATTGCATGGGAACTGATCGTAGATGACTGTGAGAGCTGAGTTCTAAGTCGTTCCGTGCCAGTGCCTCTCAGCATGTGGGCTGTGATTAGCATGTGGGCTCTTTACTCACACAACATTGCATTCAAATACCGCACAGCTCAGTACACAAAAGAGCCATCAAAACAGGCTTAAAAGTTCATTTATCCTCAAGTATGTTGGCCTCATATACAGGTCAGATGGCTGGATTTTGTCGAATATATCGAATAAGATTTAATTTCAATCACTATCAAATATATTGATATTGGTGAGCACATAAAGCTACAGTATAGATTAATAGTTCCTTACCATAAGATAAAATAGAAATCTGACAATGGCATTCTGGCATCTATAAAAACATATTAGGCAACCTTCAAATTTAAAATCTATATACAAATATACAGCCTTAGCTAGAGCCTTTTTTTAAGAGATTATCTCAGACATTGCATTTTTAAAGAAGTAAAAATCAAAAGATTATTTTCCTATTATTTCTGCATTGCCTCTGGTAATTTGGTTTGACTGTGACATGAACTACCGCACGACAGCCTCAGGTACGAAGAACTTCTGTTCCCAAAGAACAAAAGCGCTTTAGAGGAAAATACCACAACCATCAAAGCATCAGAGGGTCTTACAGAGGTGAGCATCATTCCACACCAGTTCTAAATTGTTACATCATGGGATAGTTCATCTGATATGCCTGCTCTGTGTGTAACCTTTTCACAGTTCACAGAGTTCATCTGTCTGTACGAGAACATCTTCGTGATATTTAACATCGAAGGAAAGGCGGGAAACTTTACGACATTTCATATTTGAAGCCGGCGACACAAGGGTGGTCATTGCTATCAAAGCTTTTAGCAACTGTGGGACTTTTGACCTGGCTCGCGCTGCCTCCACAGCCAGCGCTAAAAGGTTGCCCTCCCTGGTTCGGGCGCACTCCTCAATGGCTGCCAGGCACTTCTTTGCTACCTCGGGGTCACGGCTCTGCCTCACCTGCAACAGAGAAAGGAGCACGTTTTTGGTCTTTATATGCCTTACCGACAACATATACATTTGATAGAATTCACTATATACAGTGTATATAAAAGGGAGCTGGATATTGCTACAGATATTCCAAATCTATTTGTTTTCAATTCGTTTCAACATCGATTCAGTGAAGTATTTCTGTATAATACAAATGTTGCTTGGATATGAATGAGATTCTCAGAGAACTAATTCTGCAAATTGTACAAGGAACCCACTAACCTGATTTATGCATTATTAAAAATAAATGAATGAATTGACCTTGTGGTGTTTACTGGCAATAGTCACAGGTCAGATGATCTGAGCTACACTGCATAAAGAGACCACAGTGGCCATGCCTTCAAAGCATCTATAAATCACCAACAAAGAGCTGCTATTTCCCAGAGGAGACGCCTTATCTTCCGACACCGGTTCTCTCACTCTTTTGGCTCTGTAAGGCATATTACAGTGTTTTTTTTCATCTCTCAGTTTTATTCAACTGAGGTTCACTAGTCTCCCATGAGACCAGATCTTGTTGTGCGAAGAACCACAGGCTGGCCACTCGAGACTAACAAGGTTAAAGCTTCACACGTCCGTGGAAAAAAGGAATATACAGAGAATGAAAACACATGGCTCATATGCTTTTCTCGCAGATATTTAACTTGTCATTGCAGGAAAAGCACAGGTGTTGCTGATAACATTAATGATACATCTGTTCCAGTGTAGTGAGCCAACATGTACAATAACAACACCCTGGAAGCAGCACATCTGAAAGGGATGTAGCCATTATTAATTAAGGTTATTAGTTGCACCTGTGTTTAGTCTAAATGTCAGTTTCTGTCTATTCTGCAGTGGCTGGTCTGCAATATTTTAATAATAATATTTTTGCCATTTTCAAAATCCCATCACAAATACTATGACATTAGAGCAATTATAATTAAATTGGAAGAGTAAAAAATCTTGATTTAAGTGAAAGAGGCTTAGAATTCTATGAATCATACGCGCCTGCAGCAGTCATACTGTCTCTTGATCTCTGATAAGGGAACCCCTCTACCTCCCGCAATTTTCCCCAGTTCACTTCTGGCTAATAATACTGCATGTGACTCCATTCATTATCTCCCGTTCCCCCCACTGTTTCATGTCTGTTTTACTGTCAACTATACGTGTGTGTGTACTTATAGCCAGGCTTAAGTCATGGCGACGCATTAATTGAATGTCTCCTGTGTGAATAAAGTCAAAGCTATGTATATTGCTTTATTATTTTCTTTTCCTGTCTTCTCATGATTAGACCTGCAATGGTATTTGGGGTATTCTTTAAACATTTAATTGAATAAAATATGAAGGTGGGCAAAACAGCAGCGTAATCTTGGTATCTAAATGCCACATATATATCTAAAAACCTCCAATCATCAAAGGATCACTGACCTTTTTCAGTTTTTCAATCTGTTTCTCACGTACAACAGTGTTATCTATAGCCAGCACCTCCACAGTCTCCTCTTTTTTCAGACGGTACTTGTTTACACCCACAATGACCTCTGACCCTGTAAAGGAAAACAACAAAACAATATATAGATACCAAACAGGGAAGATAAAATACCACACAGTGCTTCTGGGGGTTATTATCTAAGGAGAAGAATAAGGCACTTTCACACACATCAGATAACAGATAACAAGGCACTCACTAAAAAAAACATAAAACCATTATCCACTCTGACCACATCTCAGTTTATCTCTTCTTCTCCATTAACTGTGTTACTTCTCACTTAAATCTATCAAAAACTTATTTTTCCCCCCTGAATATTCACATGTGTAATATGGTCATCTAATATTCAGTGGGGATAACTTAAAGGATTCAGGGACTTTGACTGAATATTATGGATAACCAAAATATCCTCCTTCACCATCATTCAGACAAATTAATATGTGGAAGTCCTGCAATTAATGGAAAGCTAATGAAATAGTTCATTTCTATATGTTTCTGTAGAAACAGGATTTTTAACACATTTTTATGTAAATACAAGCAGCAAACACACTATTCTGTGAGTGCCTCTCATGGTCTTTGTGGTAGTTTTCAAAATATTTATGAAAATAGTAATTTCTTTGTATAATACTTTTCAATTATTAAATAACTAATGATTGAGTTCGTAATAATATGTATTTTTAAAGTCCAGTTTGTAAATTTGGGTGCTGAAGGCTCAACATCAAAAAAACACAGAAAGCAGCTTAAAGATTCAATTGGACCCCAATTTATAAAAAATATATAATTATCTCAGAGCCTTACATGGGCAATCAGAACTCAAGGCCCATCTTAAGTGGAAAAAAAAAATCTTGATAGCAACGATGTGTTGCCAGGCGGAATCAGAAATCCAATGAATATCAATGAGAGCAGGCATCAGGGGATTATGGAGAGAAGCTACAAAGTCTGAGAAGGTTTCGGCCCCTGCTCCATCGCAGTCATTTCTGGCATTATGGGACAAGGATAAAAGTAAATTCCAAAGAGATACAAATGAGGCTCAATTAAGCTGCTTGATAACACCCTGACACACTTCCCCAGGCGTGTACACATGTCCTTGTCCGACTCACTTGACGTAGACTTTGGTTATAAGCCCCCCCCCCCAACACAACACAATTTTTGCAGGGGCACGGTTGCATTCTGGGCTTACCTTCACCCAGAAGACAAATAAAAAAGAAATACAAACAAGCCAATATACATCTCCAAGCTCCTCTCACATACAAAATACACACCGGTGGCTTCAAAAGCAGTGATATAATCTTGTGTGAGCTGCTTTCCTAACACCTTGTGGTAGCCTTGCCATGTCTGCTCCAGTTATTAGGGGGTGTAGCGAGACTCAACAGGCACATGTTTTGGTTAAGCGCACTTTAAACAGGCATACATAAAATTTACTCTGTAGGATCTGCATTCTAATAGTCAGAGCTGCAAACCAATCTTGAATCTTATTAAATATTATGTCACATTTACTTAAGACTAATTTTATCAGGCTCATTTAAAGGCTAACTCCACACTAAATCTTTTGGAGAGTATAAGACCATGCCAAGGTGTTTTAAAAAGCAGCAGAGCCATTGCACTGCCTAAAGCAACATGGGTACACTTCCCTCGAGGTCAAAACTGAAACCTAATTTACACATTTCATTGCAGTTTGTTTAAGTAAGTTAAGAGGTAGAGAGCTTTAAGTACTTAAGATAGAGGATAAAAAGATGAAAGAGTAAGAGGATCTAAGGCAAGGAGCAGAACAGAACAGTACCTGAGTCGATGCGGGCCTGTCTGCGAGCAGCACATTCTTCAATACGAAGTTTTGGGATGCCCTCCGCCACAGCTTTGGCCATGCCTCCCATCTCTTCAATCTCTTTAATGAACTGTGCAAAGAAAAAGACAAGTTGTAAAAGCTTGACTCTATGATGATGGATTACATTTCACTTGTTCACAAAAACAAGATAGACAGGAAAAGGAAGAAGAAAGAGGGGATGACACGCAGCAAAGGGCCAAGGGTTGGACTCCCATTTGTTGAACCCATGGCCATTGCAGCAAGGACTCAGCCTTGGTACATTGGGCAGCTCTACTAGAAAGCCAATGCTGTTGCCCATCTATCCCCATGACAAACCTTCAGCGCTGTGTTATAGACATCATCCGTGAGAGCCTCCATCATGTGCGACCCCCCCCAGGGATCAGCGACTTTGGGGATGCCCGACTCTTCCTGGATGATGATCTGGGTGTTTCTGGCAATGCGAGCGCTCTTCACTGTGGGCAAGCCCAGCGCTTCATCGAACGAGTTGGTGTGGAGTGACTGGGTCCCCCCGAACACGGCTGCCATGCCCTCGATCACTGTACGGATCACATTGTTGTACGGATCCTAAGAAGAGGGTTCACAGGGGGAAAGTTCTGATTACAATTTCATTTATTTTACACATTTAAATGTTGACAATTATTACTTGCCTCTGTGATTTCTATATCTAACCCTTAAACAGGTTTAAATAAGATGATTTATCTCTATACACTTCGAGGTCTTTCAAACTACAACTAATATTTACTTGTTCAGTGAGAGACCAGCCTGAAGTCTGGCAGTGTGTGCGGAGGAGGAGAGACTTGGCATTCTTGGGCTGGAAATTCTCTTTAATGAGCGTGGCCCATAACCTCCTGGCTGCCCTCAGCTTGGCAATTTCCATGTAGAAATTCATCCCAATACCCCAGAAGAATGACAACCTGACAACAACACACAAATGCCAAAAAAGGAGAATTATAATCAGTTATTAAAATTGACTGACAAACAGAAGTCAGTGTTTTCTATTCATGGAGCTGTCCAAAAATAAACAGCAGGATGAAAACAGAAGTTCTGATACCAACACCAGTATCACCTATTGCTCTGGTGCTGCCTAAAATGCAGTATTGGGTATCAGCGAGTATGGTAAATGGTAAATGGACTGTACATGTATAGCGCCTTTCTAGTCTTCCGACCACTTAAAGCGCTTTTACACTACATTCTACATTCACCCAATCAAACGCATTCATACAGTGATGACAAAGGCTCATCACAACCAGAAAGTAACTCATTCATTCATATTCATACACCCATGCACAGTATCTTGCTTAAGGACACTTCGATGTGCAATGAGGATTCTGATTAGTGGACGACCTGCTCTAACTAACCACAGCCGTCCGAGTATGCGTGTCTGTGCATCAATTCATTAGCCCCGAAACTCCATGTATTATTTTAATGCACATGTATTGGATTGGTACTCTGTATTGGCCGATACACATAGTTCAGAGTCGGTAAGGAAAAGATGGTATCGGAAGATCTCTAGTCACATTATGCTTTATCAAAGCCAACATCCCAACAACCAGATACAGCCTTCACCCAGTGATGACCATTACTACAAACGGATGGCAGAGAATGGAAGCCAAGCAACAAACCTCATCCTGGCTTAAGGTCTGGTGCTAGAGTTTCATATAAACTGCCATACTGACAGAAACCCATGTCAGAGGAAGTACATGGTTGTCATGCTACTCTGGTTAGTTAAAGGCTGAAACATTGTTTGGGGTACAACAAGCTTTCTGCCCTTTCCACCCGTCAGCATCCACATGGACTACATTCCAGTTTTAACAGCTGGGTGTATGTGATCCACATTCGACATCAGACCATTCCAACTAATATGGGTTATAGTCGGAAGACTCAAAGTCTAATAGCCAGCATATCATGGTCACAATTCTTTAAAAAAAACAATTTTAGCGATCCTGTGAAAATGTTTTTTGTTTATGTTATGTATTTATGAACCAGTCAACCTGTATGAATCAGACCACAAACATTGGCCTCCGACATCCAAAATCGCTTGAGATACAGTATACAGGAAAATTGGACTGACCAAAATAATATGTATACAGCGGTTGTGCATCCAAGATGGAATTAATTTCCTTTTTTTCAACATAAATCCTTTTTTACAATGTATGAAATAAACCAATAAATATTGCTTAAAGGGGAGGACAACTTGCCCAGGATTCAGCTTTCTCTTGTAAAGAAATTATACAAACGTCACCCTTTTTATTGTACTGCAGAAACAGTTCCCCTCACTCTGAAAAACACAATGACGGTACACTAAAAGCCTACCAACGTGGAATTAAAAAGACAAAAAAAGATGACGGCTTCAGAGTAACAATATCAACATGAAGTTCTTTGTGCAAAGCCAGGAATAAGTAAGCACTGGTCAGGAGTCCGGGAAAAACAAGAGAAATAGCTGTTGAGAGATAATAGCTCAAGGTGAAAAACCGTCCATTTCACATAATGGAGTGAAAACTCTATATTGATTCAGAGCGGCTGTCTGTAAGGTCTGTCTCTGAAGTCATTATGTGGAGAAGGGTCAAGGTGGACTGGGGCCTTAGGATGTTGACTCTGCTATCAACTGAGTAATTGAAAAGCAGTGAAAAAGAAATAGCTGAAGGAAAAGTGCAGAGGGTGATAATGGACATACAAGGCAAGGAACAAGAATTGGACAGAGGGAAGCATTGATGAAGAGGAGCAGTTGTGCAATTGACTGAAAATACTATCTGCAGTCTACAGCAGCTATAAATTCATTAAGGTTCACGTTTATTGTCATATACACTTAGAAAGTATTGTGTAGATTCAAATTTATTTAGTTTAAAGCGGGCAGGAAAAAACGGAATTCTATGAAGCAACGCTGAGCCAAAGAGAATCATATTTTTTCACATAAGAGATGCATTGTGTAACAGTTAAACCGAATTACAACTATGTGTATTAAATGAAGCTGTAAATGACAGCAAACATTCCAAGGTGACAGGTCTTTATCCTATTTTCTTATTTAAACTTTTACAACTATGACATATATATGCCACACTTGGCGTTGTGCTCAATGTTAAGTGTGTGTATAAATTACTATAGGAAGTGTTTGATCTGACTAGCAGCCTGTCCATCTAGTGCTAATTATATGCTAATTCAGTCTGCTGGCTCAACAAATAACCAAGAAGGTATGTGTTTGCCAGTTAAATATGGCTGTCTCACACGCTTAATATGGATCTGTCAAACAGGCACTGTGTGAGGGGAATATTGATAAAAGACCAACAGCTATGGTTTACTATTTGGCAGTTTCGCCATTAACAGGACATTTAGTTAGTGCCTGAGTGAGTGCACAAGTTCCTGTTTTTGTTCTAAATGTAACAGAAGGGTTCATGGAATGTGCAAAAAAGGTCTTGCTCAATGTTCATAACTGCAGGAAAATATTTTTTCAGGTAGAAAAACTGGGAGTAAAACCAAATACAGGTAAGAAATGGTCTTGTCTCAAGGGGATGTTAACAAACTTGACTTTTGGGTGTGCTAGCAGAGGGTTTGCTAATTGATAACAGTCAGAAAGACCAATGATGATAGTTTGTAGGAGGGTAACAAATTGCCACAGTGCCTTAGATGGGAACCTGACTAGTGGTGGACCAAGATACGTTTTTTAAATGGATGCTGATTTAGAGAGCAGGGCGACCGATGGCTGAAATGCTGTTATCATAACAAAGAAAAGTCATTTTAGCTCTAATATCGTTCCACAGCAGCCACACTGACAGAGAGTGCCAGCAGATGTGTCTGCAGACATTTTTTGTTTATCGATCTTGTGAGCGCAGACACGCCAATTATCAAAGAGAAGACATGAGAAACACTTAAGGACTACTTAAGGTATAAAATAAGTGAATAGCTTCTCGTAGGTGTGCACTCTTCCAACTTACCCTTCACTTGTGTACCACGCTCTGAGCATGAATAAAAGTGTGACGATACTGTACGAGATTTTGGTCTTGTTCCTCTTTGTCAGAGTGAAATTGCAAAAGCAGCAAAGAGTTGAGCTCAGCTTTGAGAGGGGCTGCACGTTGTAGAAAAAGTGTGATAAACACATTGTGAGGGTGTTAGGAGATGTGATAGATAGAACTAAGTGTGAACTAAATGTGTTGTACATGC